GGTAGTGGTAGTGGTAGTGGTAGTGGTAGTGGTAGCAGCCGCAGCAGCAGCAGGTTATCTAACTTCCACAGCTCATCTAGCTTCTGAGTCACTGCCACCAGCTGTTCAGAAAGCAAATGAACATTCATACAAAAGTACATATTTAATCTTTCGCCAGATCTTTCGCCAAAAAAAAAAATTACTTTCGCCAACTCGAGAAAAAACTTTCGCCAAATGAGATTTTGATATGTTCCGGGTCATCGTCATACACACTGCTGACTAGGACCTTTAGATCGACAACCATGTAACGATCCAACAATTTTTTTCAGGTGGAAGATGGTGGAAGGTGGAAGCAACCATTTGAGGTGGAAGCAACCTCGAGGTCGGACACCTCCAAACAGTGACTTCGGAATCCTGAAATCGGTCGGTGCTTCGCCAAGTGTCCCAAAAACTCATGGAAGACTCCAGCTCGGTGCCTATCCAAATCCAGTAAGCTCCTTCTCCTCAGTGAAGCTGGGATACAGTGATGTTGTGATGCAAAGAACCCTTGGATGCCCAACAGTCCAGTGACTTCTTTGGAAAACTGTAAAGCCATTCTAAATAGCAATCCTGGAAGAAAGGATTCTAAGACTGTGGATTCCTGGACTTCAACATTAGATTTCGACATCTGAATATTCTGGGACTGCACCTTTGGTCACTCCGCACTTTCGATGCCCCGCTCTGGGAGATTAGGTGACTATCCCTGCGCAGTTCGTGAAGCAAACCGTAGCGAGTTTTGAGGGTATCGGATGCGGAAGACTTGGATTCCCAAGGAACTGGAGAAACAGTGAAACCAGAAAAGTGAATAGTCTGGTACAAACTTGGATTAGGAAGAACAAGAAATATACCAAGACTTGGATCAGGAAGAACAATCCCTAAGACAAACCAGAAAACAGTGAAAACACGAGAACAGTTTCCCAGAAAATCCGTCGTTGAGGACAAGCACCCGATGGTTTGCCAACGGAGGTCACTGAGGACAAACATATTTGTGGATATACAAACATATCCGCAGACTGCGATTGTCCGATCGTCTTTGTTTGTTGTCGAAATGCAAGTGAACATGGTTCCGTGATTTGGGAACCAAGAAGACCTGTGGGACAACTTATGACTTCAACTATCTTTATCTGGCCACCAATGAGCCCTTGAAGTTCACTGGAAAAAACATAATAATTGACACCAATGGTTCACGGTAGCTTGGTGATCAAAACAAAAAGGGGTCCTTACAAACTGTAGTAGGTAAGAACAGGTGTGGACTCCAGTATTCTTTACACAATTTCACTATTCCCTTCAGATCGCCAAAGACACCAGTGACTTTTCGCTGCCAGTCTTTCTGCTTGTAGTTGGGCGGTGGGTTCCAGCTCGACTTTTGCGTTTCCGCATCCCAGTAGAAGGTCTTCCCGGCCTCGAGTGAAGCCAGGAAAGGCGTCGCTGAACGTTGAGCGCTGCTTGGAAGCAGGAGGAAACAACATCCTACGAATAAACCCAACAACAAAAACATCATAAGCCAGGGGCCACAGCAGGAAACCAACTCATCCAACCCAATTTACCCACATCAGAACACCCCATACTCGGCCCTCAACTTATACCACCAGCCAAGTATGTCCACCGCTGCTGCTCGTCTTCTCTCCCTCGCCTCATCAGCGACTTGCCTCCAGCCCGGTGGCAGCACGATCTCCGCGACTCCGTCGCATTCTCGACCGGCCTGAAGGTCGCATTCTCCACCCTCTGAACGCCAAGGAGACGGTAGGTTGCGATCACAAGGAGTAAGGTACCAGCACCACCCATTGTAGGGTGGTTATTAGATGGACAATACCTCTTCACCCATGGGGGTCTATAAACCACCCGACCTGAGTGGTGCTGGGAGCAGGAGCACGATATAGTGTACCGTCAACTGTCGAGCACCGCTATTCTCAAAGCATCTATCATTGGATAAGAAAAAATAAAAAAAACAGCCAGGTCCAGCGTCCAGGCATTAGCTATGGCCAGGTCGAAACCTCACACACTCTCTCTCTCTCTCTCTGTCTCTCTATCAGACCAAAAAAATAACCCCCCCCAAGAAGGATATGAGTTCAAAGGAATGTCTAGGAGTTGGATATGTCAAAGTAATGAAGATAGACTCCGTAGACCGTTGATTCAGAAGCCCCCCAGGCCTTTTTAGAGGTTCTACCATCCATGTGCATGGAGGTTCTATTGATCAAGACACTAAATAATAGAACAAACGGATGGATGATGGTTAGGTTGCAGGCCGTTCTCAAAAAGAGTGAGAATATGTTACCGACTGTGACTGGTTTACTGGGACACACCATATTGATGAGGCTTTAGGTGATTGTCTACAAGAACCCTGCAGGATGTCATTGCAACTCGCAACTCTTTGTGCTCTGTTCTTGGAGCCCAATGCCCAAATATTTTTTTTGGCCAGAATCGCTTCTTAGAAACGCGATTGAACATATCAATCCAACAGTATAAAACATTGAACAACAAAACGACACACATGTTATCTTAACAGTCACAAACACAAGCGGAAGTTGAAACCACCAAAAAAGAACAACACATATTGAAAACAAAACAACAAAAAACAAAAAAAAGAGGTACATTCGTTCAGCCAGTCGTCGGATTCGCATCGCTTCTCTGCTTTGAGAGACCCCGTCGAAGGTCTCCTGGGACGCCAGGACGACAACAGCTGCGTCTTCACCAAGGAGGACGGACAATGGTCAAACTGGTCTTTATCGGGTGGTCCTGGACCGTCCTGGAACTTCTCTTTGCCCTGCTTCTGCTGATAAAGTGACATCTCCCCCCACCCTTCCATCCTCTTTTCTTTAGATGGAAACCGTATTCCAAGCGGCCATGGTGAAACTTCCATGCAACTGTTGGATATGAGATGATATGAGTGTATTGAAATAGGGAGGCCCTAGAGGGCCTCTGACCACTTTGAGCGTCTTCACTTGGGTCCCAGAAAGTCCCACAGCTGGTCTCCCCATGTCTCCACACGAAATAAACAGAAACAAAAGCGAAACCACACAAACAACACATGCATGCATTCTTGCGCCAGGACCTTCTGAGTGACCGAACTGGATACCCTGGTTTGAGTGACTTAGGCTTAGGCTTGTATAAGCTCATTTATTAGGTCAGTGCTAAACGGGTCTGAGTGCTCCAAGTTTCCCGAAAATTCACAGGTCGCTGGGAGTCAGTGAAGGTCCAGGTCTTAGTGCTCCAAGTTCACCTCATTGATCTTTTTTTGAAAAACATTGTTCTCGTCCACCCTAAGAATCATTAGACCCTCCGAACTGGAGGGTTTTGACCGTGCTCTTGGCAGGGGTTTGGACCCGAAGCAAACCTTCACCGGCTGAGGGTCCTTTGAGGGTCTTTGAGGGTCCAAGTCTCCTCTTGCTCTGGAGAGTCTCCGAACTGGAGACTCGCTCCCCACGCATCTCGAAGCGCCGCGACAAGGGAGGCTTGGACGGCGCAGGGTCGAGGCTGCGCTGCCAATGCGAGGTCTGGGTCTTGAGATTGTAGTAGAACTTGCAACCTCAGTGAAACAGCACTATGACGTGACCGGAGGGGGTGAGTCATCATTACGGGAAGGGTGGTGGACTTTGGACCCGAACCAAACCTTCACCTTTGAGGGTCCTTGATTCTTAGGGCCCAAACCTTGGAGGCTCATGGCTCCAACCGAGAACATCGATGGGGAGGGCGCTTTTTGAAGCGAACCGATGGAGACGGTGAAGGCGGCCATTTGATGAAGAGGCCGCGATGTGTCCATCCGGTTTTTTGCTGATTCAGGTCCAGTCTCCCAGTTCTGACACCCTCACAGTCTCCATGAGGCCTGGGCCTGATGTGTAGGGAGTGAGTACTTCGGAAGTCTTCTGGACCCTTGACTTCGCTCGGACCCTGAAGTGTTTTTGATGGTTTTTGCGTCATGCTCGGTGGATCGCCAAAACGCTCGCACCGTCGTCTCAGTCGAATGGCCAAACTCTGTCTCATGCTCTTCCCACTCGTCGTCCACCTGATCGACTGGAACGAATCGAACGAGACGGATAGGGTCTGTGATGAGGACGCGGACAACCGGACCGGTGATGGATCCGGATGTGACATGTCCATGAGTGCGTAGAACATACGACACGTGGATGGATGGGAGAAAGAACATCTGACGCCAGAGATGTTGAAACAGTGTTTCACGTCAAATGTCTCAGGTATTGCGGTGTCGCGGCATCATCATCATCATCATCATCCCCTAAGAATCCAGTCGTACCTTTTGAGGTTCGGGACTGGGGTGGCTGGCAGGAGGGTCCAGTTGTACCTTTTGAGGAGGTACGACTGGATCCCTACAAAACATCATCCTCCTGATCATCCTCGTCATCTTGCCATAGTGTTTCTCCTTGGAATCCCTTAGTTCTCCGTGCAACGCTGGACCCGCCCCTTTCCGCATCATTCCGCCTCGGGGAGTTTGCTGGTCCTTTCGCTTGTCTTCGAGAGCTTGGGAGCCTCTTCCACCTGCGGACACCATGTTTTGTACTCTCAAAGCCATCGAATGCTTGCGCCTGTCACCGACCGAACTGGTCCATCTGTTCGTATTGACTCTGGGTGTCCCCAAATTCCAGGAAAAAATGGTTGGGAAAGTTACCCACATAACCTTCCTGGGTAGGATGGAAACAGCGCAGGGTGGTGTCCATCTGGGTCTTCTCGTCATGACGAGTGCCCGGTCGTCATTGAAGATTTGCCCGTGGGATGATGGAAGGAGTTGGATGATGATCATCACCTAGGGTTCGAGACGCCTTTTGTTCGTTTGAACGATGTGATGAAGAAATAGTTTTTAAATGACCATTTGGCCACAGTTGCTTCCATTTGGCCACAGTTGCTTCAACAAAGCACAACAGTATCCGATCCTCTGCCTATTGAGCATCCGTTGATGCAACAACAAAACAAGTGGCATGTTCTGCGCATTCTGGGCACTAAGAGTAGCATATCTGATAGGGACAGTCAAAAAGAGAACACACGATGAGATGTTGCCAACCCAAAAGATTCTACACTCTTATAGCGCTAGGGATCCAACTACCTGCTGAGAAGATGGTTAGGGTGGGTGCCAGGGGTCTAACATGGTCTAACCACCTTTTGAGGATATGGTTGGAGCCCTAGGGAGCAGCAATGATTTGGAGGACTTTAAGTTCCACCAAACCCCATTACAGCTGCCTTCTTCTCCACCTTCTTCTCTGGAGGCTTCTCCACTTTCTCCTGCCCAAGTGCAAATCGTCTTCTTCGACCCTATGGCTGTGTGTGGTAGCCCCTGTGTGGTAACTTTGAAGAATGGTGTGCTGCTTAACGGAGACTTCAGCTATTCTGCAAGTAGTAGCTTTTCATTGAATGCTAGTGGCTAGCACTCTCCTACCTGGGTCCAGTGAAAAAAACAATGATCAATTTCTTGGATTTGGGGCTGCCCAGCTCTCTGAATTTGCTCTTGGTGCAAGCACACCAAATCGAGGGACAAAAAGGATTGAAACCATGGGCTACACTCCTAGCACCTAACATGGCAATTGACCAACACAACTGTCCATTGTGAGATGGATGAACTGAACAGGTTTCACAAAATGCCCAGTCTGTCCCCGTCCCAAAACTGAGCCACAAAGCAATCCAAATGTGTAGAACCTTCATTTACTGAGACTGTATGGTGCACCACCTTGGACCAACCTCTTTGCACAGTTGTTGTCCACGCAGTGATGGACCCAACTCCAGCACCAGGTGGGAACTCCACAGCTCCGAGGAGAGTCGAAGGGGGCATGTGTCCAAAGTCCAAGAAAGACATTGGGTCAGAGGGGGAAACACACACACCATTGAAATGGTTTCAGAGAAGATGTCCTTTAGATGGGGCTATATATACATATATAAACCATCCAACTTGGAGAAGCTGCGCCATCCGAAGCTCTGAAACACCACCAGTGCTTCCGCTCGGTCTCCGAAGCGTTTGGTTCGCCGGACCTCCAAGCGACTCTCCGTTCGCGCAGGCTTCGCTCCGTTCGCCGCGGGGTAGTGCCACTGGGTCTTCGTTCGGTCCGCTACGGGCCAATAGTAGTAGCGCTTCCTGAGGTTTGCACCGCGGAGACGAGCCTGGAGACGAGCTACGAAAACCATGGAAGAACAACGCACACATTCAGATATCTTCCGTTCTTGGCTAGCTAGCAGCCAGGAACTCTCTGGAAAACACAAATAACATCAAATAACAACAGCAAAGCAGTTCCAAGCAAAGATCGACGGATCAGTTAGGGTGGTGTTTTAGGGATTAATGTAGGTGCAAGTTCCAGCCAAATGTGAGAGCAAAGGCATGAAAGGAAAAGGCAGGAAGGTGAGCTACCAAAGCTGTTGATTGGAGTAAGAATTTTGAGGTGGGAGGGGCAAGCCAAACAGAAACGAGATGATGTCAACTTCACATGGGTCCTACACCCATTCGATGGATTCGACAAGGCCAAGGCCCTTTTTGGGGGTTGTGCGGTTTTGTCAAAGCCGCCTTGGTTTGTCAAAACCTCACTCTCCTCACCACACAGGAGCAGGACATGTGAGATCATGTTTAATTCATCCTTACCTGCTCATCACAGCTACCGGACCTATCGTGCTGTTCATAACTCACATGCGCCTTGGCACTTCTAGCCAACAAGAAGGCCCTCAACCAATTCAGTGAGGCCACTTGGTGTGGCACCTCCAATGAACAAAGAAAGCATCGCCAAAACAATTGCCCCCCAAAACATAACATTTTCCAAATCAAGAAATTGACCCTTGCTTGGGCCAGGTTCAACAAACTCCCTTTGTCCACCTAAGTCCAATAAACGCTTCTGATCGCAGCCCACATTCACCGCATCCACCAACGCGAGAGGTTTTCGGGCCGAGCATCGAGGCATCATCGAAACTCATGGCCCAACCGTCCGGCAGCCCTTCAGGACAAGTCCTAGTCCGCGCGGAGAAAGCTGTGCCAAAACGCTCCATGTATGGAAATCTATGGATCCATGAAACCGCTCCAAGTATGGATCATTTATTATGTGTAATATAACTTACATTCATCCCTTTTCGACCACCCCAAATGTAGGTATATAAATAGTCCAGTCTGATGGAATCTAGGTTGTATAATGCCTTGGATTTTTATATGTTTTATTTGACTTGATACTGGCGGAAGTTGTGAGATTTATCAGCTGCAAAAGTACCAAGTGCTGCTGATTTGGGCCTGCAACATCTTGGACATGCAATTTATTTAACTTGAAGAGGTTGTGATCTACTGTCTCGACCTGGATTGGCCCCAAACAAACTCTCTTGTCTGTCGCTGCTGCAGAATCATGTTGCAGCATCTCATGACCTTGTGAAAATGGCTACGCTGCCAGCTCCTGTTCGCTTCCAACTGACCGAGTTTAGCAAAATGAAAAACCCATCACTATGCCCAGGCTTTTGACCACTGCTGCTGCTGCTGCTGCTGCTTTGGTCACTGGTTATAGCCACATGCTGCTTCCTATACCCCCCTATACTGGAGAAAACAACGAAGACAGGACGAACGCCAGCGAACCAGCTCTTCCAAGGCTCCATCTGCTCTCCTCACCCGTGGCTTCCTTGCCTTCCTTGCTTCCCTGGGCCGCCTTGGCCTCTGCTTCCGCCCGTGGCTGACCCCGCACGAAGCCCTTGCGCACCACGGGCCGTCCGGTCTCGGTGTACTCCTCAGAGTCACGCCGGTTGACCGCTTTTTGCGAAAGAGACAGGGTGAGAACACATGCCTTTTTGGGGGTGAATATTCTGGGAAGTCCGACATGAATTCATATGTTATTTGTTTTCCCATGGAATTTTGGAATTCCATCATCTTAATCTTAAGTGCTATATATGATTATATATGAACATCCATGAACCCATGCTTCATCGTCCAAACACCGCATGCCTGCCATTGACCACCCGGCACCCGGCTGAAGAGCCGTTCGAACCGGGTTGACCATCGTGCTTCAGCTGACTCACGGGGGTCTACGTGGTCGCTTTGGTCGCTGGCAACCCATGGTGCAAAGGGTTTGCTCTCTTCTCTCATGGCGTGAGTCTTCGCTGAGGTTCGTATCAAACCCATGGGGCATTGAGTTCGTTTGCTCTCCTTCCGTCTCTTCTCTTGCACGTCTGCTCTTGAAGTTCGAGAGTTTTCCTTTGTTTTAAAGACAACCTCTTAATTGTGTCATACAGGACTCATCAAAAGCCCAGGGTCCTGTATGAAGACGACGGTTAATTATTTGGACCATCACTCATTTTTCACATTTGAGGAATTGCTTCATCGCGACAAGATATGTTGTTTACTCTTTTTTACTTGTGGCGAACTTATACTTTTTCTTTTTGTCAGAGGAATTTGATTCGGAAAGGGAGTACCACACTGGACGGTGACGATGCCCTCGTGGACGGGACGGATGCTCCCTCCCCCGTGGCTTGGGTTCTACCTTGGCTTTCTACTCAAAACAAATGGTGTTTTCTCAAGGTCCATCAGGGTTTTCGCAAATGGGGAAGAGTGATGAATGAAAGCTAGCTAAGTTAAGTCTTTGACAAGTCTTTATTATCTGGTTGGTGTTTTCAACCCACTTGAAAAAATATGAGTCAGAGGGTCCAATCATCCCCAAAAATTCGTCAGAGGGTCCAAATATCCGAAACCATCACCTAGTTATGAAACATAGCTGCTAAGTCTTTGATAGTCTTTGGCTTGAATTCCTCACGTCACCCTGGATGTCCTCTCTTGACCCCATGGCTCGACACCTCCGTTTTGGCACCCCGACACCGGGCCACCCGGCCCGCAGACCGGTGGTCGCCCAACCAGCACTGAGGGAGACTATCCCATTTCATGGGTGTCTCAGTGTCTCCAAAATGGGTGTCTCCCATTCGGGTGTTGGCATTAGGATGTAGGTTTAGAGGTATATTAGGTTAGATGTTGGCATTAGGTACATTAGGATGTTGGCATTAGGTATATTAGTTTAGAGGGAGACCCTCTAAACACGCCGATCGCCGCTGGGTCAACCCAGGTCGATGTTCCGAAGCCTGCCATCCTGTTGACGGGTCGGACGAGAACGACGCCTGGGCTGTTGAAGGAATCACTTCTGGTTGACGCCATAGGAAGCACTAACCTTGGGGAGCTGGGGTGGAGAACCCTAGACTGACACAGCTGGCTGCCAAGTAGCAAGCTGATTTCGTTCCTTGATCCAAATGATGTCCTGCTAACGAGGCGCGTTCCTTGAACGACCATTTTAAGGCAAACATGCTGTTGGTTGACATGTTGTTTAAGCAAGATTGGAACGGCAAGATTGTATAAGCCGCCTGATATTTCCATTGAACATGAACAAAGACAACAAACATCAACAAACTATATAACACTGGTAAATTTCCTGGTTCATCTTGAGAATATTGCTGGCCAATGCCATGACTCTAGTCTTCCGCAACTGAAGGCCCTTCAAGAAAACTTTGTTAACGAGGTCTACAAACCAGTGGTTGACTGTTTTCCTCTACAAACCAGTGGTTTGCAGGGCCACCATCCGCGGGTCTATCTCCACTGTTTTCCCGAAATCGGGTCCACCGTTTCGGGGCCAAGCTTCATCCCAAATCTTCATAGAATAACCACCATGGTGATTCGGCCATGCCATCCACTTTCATGATTTGTGGGAGGGAGAACCCCAGGCCTTACAACCAGGTCCTTGGCCTTACAACATGCGACAAGGAGAAGCTGGCACACCGAAGCACATATTCCATGCAAGGTGTCTTTCCATGAGTCTTTTGATACCTTTAGGATCTCCAAGGTTCATGAAAGAAAGGTTCTCCAGCTGGTACATGGAATATGTCTCCATGGATCTCCAAGGTTCATGAACATATTCCATGCAAGGTTCATGAAAGGTGAAACAATCTCTCCTTTCCGCACGTCAGCTGATGCCTCTTGCCCAACGCATCCGAAGTATCTCGGTTCGTCGTTTCCTCCGTTACCGTCCCAACGCCGAGGTCGTTACGAAGCTGGCAAACATGGGCACCCGATGCATCGATCAAGGAACAAAAACACCGATACGCCGATTCTTTTGGTACGTTGGTCCGATGATCCTCATCGATTTCCAGATTTAGGCAGGTGTTTTTGGGAGTTCCGTGATGTCCAGATTCTATCCCAGTCCTTCTCTTTCTTCTGCTGCACTCTCCGGTAGTGCTTATCGCCAGCCAGGTGCTGGTACATCCCAAGAACACCTCGGACTACGTGGATCCGACCGGAGAATCATGGCGAAGTGCTTCCAGTGCTTCGTTTGTAGCCACAGACCATGGTAAAAACATCCGTTCCGGGCAATGGCGGAAAGAATGTGTACCTGTAGTTCACCTTTCCTGCGTCCTGTGTTTTCCAAAGGCAAATGAATGCGAATGATAACTGATGCGATGTCCAGTGGTGCAGGTGATTCTTGTTGAAACATGTTAAAACTATAGTCAAGAAACTTCCAATTTTCACCCTGAGATCTGGATAGATCAATCCAAGAAGCTAGCAGACTTTGAGGAACACAGGGTACACACCAGCTCTTGCTGTGCAAAGTCCACATAGTCGGGTATGTTCCACAAGCGGTCGAACCTGGGTCGCAACAATGGACCGCAACTGCTGTGTAAAAACCCGGGTCATCATGAGTGTGACACAGGTAATGACTTCTGAGTTTTTTGTTCAATGTGGCAGGGTAAGTTCCTACTGACTATAAATCTATAAACTTTTTGCAGAATCTGCGCACGAAGTTCCCCATCGGAACTGCAAAAAAAACAGCTGTTGGCAATAGAAGAAGGGTCAGTCCAGTGGACATTATCAAAATATATCAAAATTGTGCGTCAGTGAGTCAGAGAGCAGATTACACATTCTGACACCAACCCTCTGGTGTTCTCTTTGGGGTCCAACATTGTGTAGCTCCAGTGGCTTGACGGAAATGATGGTTCCAATGGTTTCCAATTCCAACACACACACAAACCCGGAAAAATATTATACAAGCATAGACCCCAAACAGTTTCAAAACGATTCGTTTAGACCAATGGACCAATATTAGTCAAAAATCGATTTCTTGGTACGCCCTACTTTCACCCGATTCATCAATGATATTTTTTCGGCATTGACATCGCTTTTTGTTCGGCCACACTCCTCTCCAGTAAGCCGGGCCACAGAGACCAGCCACAGAGTTCAGGGGCGCGGCCAAGACAAGGATAAGAGGAGGACAAGACCCGGACACAGAGCCAGGCCACAGAGCCCAGCCACAGAGTTCAGGGGCGCGGCCAAGACAAGGACAAGAGGAGGTCCATAGCACACGCGCGCGCGCGCGCGCTCGCGCTGCTCTCTTTCTTTCTTTCTTTCTTTCTGTCTTTCTTTCTTTCTTTCTTTCTTTCTTTCTTTCTCTCTTTCTTTCTCTCGTTTTCTTTAAGTTTCTCTTTCTCTGTCTTTCTCTCTGCAGAGCGCGCTCTAAGCGCGCCTTTCCACACAGCCCAGCCACAGAGTTGACAGAGTTCAGGGGCGCGGCCAAGAGAAGGACAACAAGAGGGCAAGGCCTGCACACAGAGCCCGGCGCGGCCAAGAGGAGGACAAGGCCTGGACGCAGAGCCCAGCCACAGAGCCCAGCCACAGAGTTGACAGAGTTCAGGGGCGCGGCCAAGAGGAGGACAAGAGGAGGACAAGGCCTGGACACAGAGCCCAGCCACAGAGTTGACAGAGTTCAGGGCACGGCCAGGACGAGGACAAGAGGACCTCCCATTCCTCTTGTTCGGAAGTCTTTCTCTCTTCGTCTTGATTGGCACCTCTAGACTGTTTGTCTAGCTTTCGATCGAACTCGTCTTCAAATTCCATTCCTTGTTCTTCAAGGTCAGTAGGTTCAACTCGCTCATGCCTCTCAAAAAGGTCCTCATACTGCCACTCTGGTGCAACTGCCGACTCAACATCTTCAGACGCATGTTGCTGAAGTTGCAAGCCGAATTTAGTACCCTTAAAAACACGCTGTGATACGCAAAGAGATAAAATGACAAAATGGACCGGGCGCTCACACATACAGCTGATGAACCGTTTCCGTTCCGGCTCAAAAAAACCAACGTTGATCCCGACGGTGTCATTTGTTCCGGGAGCAAGGAGAGGAAATCCCGACGCCGAAGGCTCGGAATGACCACTCCAAAACTTGGCTCCAAGATCGATACGACCGTCAGGCAGTTCGACTGGATGAACAAAAACACAGCCGAATGTCTGGTAGAATTGGCAAACACCATCTTCTACCCTGTAGAATCCAGACTGTGCGGAAGGGGAACTACAAGAAAAAACGATTCTTCCTTCCTCCCGATTTTACTCCCAGCTGGGAGAATTTCTCAGGAAGAGGAACCAAGCAGAAATCAGCCCCGATTGGATATTTCTGAAGGTTCGGCTCGCCAGGCCCAATCGAATCAAGGTTGGTCACCTTGACCATTTTGGACGTGTCTCTGACAACCCGAAAACAACGCGAGGCAAAGACTTCACCGCCCGCGATGATACCGGTCCTCAACGCATTTACAACATGGAGGTTGGTCGCCTGCCCCAAATTTCAACAAGCGACTAGCAGGGTTGATGATCCCTCCACGTGCCACAAACCTAATGTGCAAGAACTCGTTTCTGTGGCAGTTCCACTACTGCTCACCTGTCCCATGGCTGTCCCCCCCAAACAAAATTACCCCGGCAAGAGACCCCAAGCAGTGTGTGTGTGAGGTCCATGAGCAGAAAGTCTAGAGATCTAAACGCATTGGGGTCCAGAGGTGATGGTGGTGATGAAGGTGGGGATCCTCGTAACAGACGGTGGCGATGGTGGTGAGTGAGTGAGTGAGTGAGTGAGTGAGTGAGTGAGTGAGTGAGTG